GCTAGACTCCTACCTCTGTGGAGGCTCTGATTTTGGTGATTGGTGTTTCTCAGTTCAGTCTCTCGCCCTCATCCTATGTTCATTCACACCTTCTACTCAGTCCCTCTCCTTGCCAAGTACACAACCCAGTGGGGGAGGTAGATGTGTCACTAGGCACAACCCATCAGTCAGTGCAACGAAAGAAACATAAGAGTGCTGTGACCACATACAAATTTGTCATTACCCAACCTGGTGTCTTCCAAATCAACATCCCCTCTTCACATTTTTCCTGTAAGTCACTTTGTCTCATAACGTTCTGAATATCCTTGATCTCCGCTTCTACCAAAAAATTTAGATTTCATTACTCCTGTGATATTTTAGTCACTTCCTACAAGAAACACAGTTCAATATATTGCCACAGTCACATCAGCCATATCCCCAAAGGAGATATATATCATATCAGCCCCTTGCTTTGAAGGCATCTACTATCTTTCAAATCCTCAAGGGAAGTTGATATCCTTAGCACACCAAATAACACAATAAAACATACATCTGAAATAGCAACTTTTAAAAGCAGAGACTGTCTGAATTCCAGTCCCACTGCTTACTAGCTATGTTACCTCTGGCAGGTCATTTTACATCCTTGTTTTCTCATCCACAAAACAAGGATACTAAAGGAACATACCTTATAGGATTGTTACCAGGAATAAGTAAGACACTCCATGCCAAGTACCAGTAGAGTTTATCTGGTAACTGTTCTCTTAGGCTAACTCATCTACCTAGAATATATTACTTCCCAAGGGGAACAGATAACCAAGTTTTGCTTTCATGTATTTTAGAATGATTAACAATATGAGTTAAATCAGAATGACCCTCTGGCTAATCCTAAATCAATAAAAACTTCAATTAATGAATATATTGCTTTCATAAAAATTTTAGTTTGTCCAAACTTTATCCAATTTTCTTTAATCAGAGTAATTTCATCCTCAAACCTAATAATCAAAAGACAAAAGTTAGGGCTGGGGATTTAGCTCAGTAGTTTTGCCGCCTACTGCTCAAGCACAAGGACCTGAGATCTATCCCCCATACCAAAAAAAAAGACAAAAGTTAGGGCTGGGGATTTAGCTCAGTAGTTTTGCCGCCTACTGCGCAAGCACAAGGACCTGAGATCTATCCCCCATACCAAAAAAAAAGACAAAAGTTAAAGTCAGTGATTCTAGTAATATGAGAAACTACAAAGCCCTCAATTCTAAAAAAATAAAAATAAAACAGACCAGAAACATTTTTCAAAAAATTTATTCATGGAGTTAAATGTTAATGAAAAATGGTGAAAAGATTTCACTAAATTTACAGATGAAGGACAAATAACAGAAAGGAAAAAATAAAACTAGAAAAATATTGCATTTGCTCTTCTATTATGGGCTTCGATGTTGAACAGCAACTGCTCTTAGCAAACAAACTTTTAAACCAAGTGTAGGTGGGTGCATGCCTATAATTCCAGCACCATGGGAGCCTGAGGCAAGAAAATTCCAAGTTCAAGCCCAGCCTGGGCAATTTAGCAAGTAAGCAAGAACCTGTCTCAAAATAAAAAATTTTAAAAGGGCTGGGGGTGCAGCTCAGTGGAAAGCCCTTGGGTTCAAAACATAGTAATATAAACACTTCAAAAACCGTTTAAAAAAAAAAAAGAATGACAGAACTGGTCAGTGAAATGGCTCGAGGCAACATAAAGCAACACCTTTCAAAAAAAAATCTAGCAGTATTTTGATAAAACCTTCCAATCTTCTAACCTTGTAACCCCTTTCCTGGGCCTTGAGCCTAAAAGAAAGAAGAAAAATGATGAAGCAGTAGTAACTGCACTACTATATAACTGCCATTATTTGCTAAATGGTAAGGAACCTAGGTGTCCAACTACTGAGATGTAAGTAACTCAACTCACCGCAACACTGGGTAATAATATAAGGGTATAAAAACTATAAAAAATAAAAATAAAAACTATAGCAAAAGAAAACACATTAAAGATGACAAGAATTAAGAAACATTAAAGGCTTATATTTTTTTTTCTTTGAACATTACTTTGGAGTTGATCAGGCCTATCACACCAAGTTTAAACCTTTCAAAACTGACTTTTCAAAGGCATGAAAGCACAATCATTTTTCCCCTAAAAATCTATCACACAGGAGTAATCAGATATGCTCTTCTCACATAAAGACAAGCCATACATGTAACTTTAGCCATGCTATTAGCCAGCTGTAACCTTATTATATTAAAATCTCATTTTACCATCAAAACATAACTATCTACAGGATCTCCATATGGTGATCAGATGCCACGAGTTATGGGACATCTAGAAAGAGGCCCCTAAGCACAAAGTTAAAACCATCTAGCCAAATGGAATGGTGAAGTTTCAGTTTCTCCCATATTCCCAAATGAATTATCATGTTTCACAGTTACTCTAGGGCTCCAAGTCCCTAGTAATGGCAGCTGAGGATTCAAGGAAGAAAGTGCAAGCAGACTTACTCTCCCTGTGAAAAATTGGTGACTTCTTCACTATTGCCTGCAGCACCACAAAGCAGCAAAAACAAAACAAAACAAAAACCTTCATAAGGTCAAAGGTGTAAGAGATGACCCTAAGTATTTTCAGGCATATTACTTGCCTGTTCAGGCTTTAGTGTTTTAATGACAAACTTTTGAAAGCTGAACCAGCCAGGTGTGACTGCTCACATCTGTACAGCGCTCAGAAGTCTGAGGCAGAAGGAGCACCTCTGAGCTCAAGGCCAGCCTAGGGTACATAGTGAGTTCATGGACAGCATGAACTATATAGTGAAACCCTAAGGAAGGACAGAAAGGAGGGAGGGAACTTTTAAGTTCAACATACATTTTCAATATACATTTTCCAATACACACACACAACTGTCACAACTCCCACTTGGAGGATGAAACGATTATTAAAATATAAAATCAGGAGACTGAGGGCAAAGGTGAAACGCAAAGATTATCCAAAGACCTGGATCATAATCTCAGTTCTATCCCTTTGCTCACATGGCCTTGGGAAAATTACCACACTTAAAAATAAACTTCAAAACAAAGTTCAAGAACCAAGGCAGCAAGCCTCACTAGCCATGACCTTCTTATTCCTGCATCACAAAATGGTTTGCTCTTTTCTATCATAACTAGGACTTCGTCTCTAACCAATACTTTACTTCAATCTTGGGATATTTATAAATTTCCTGCACGTTCACCTTTTCTATTTTCTGATGCTTAAAAAAAAAGGCAATCTAACTTATTTTGCCTATATTAAAGCTATATTCAAGCCTAGGACAATTCCTCAAAAAATGTATTCAGTAAATGATTTTTGTGCACCTATGCCATACAACAGTAGGTGCTGGAGTTGTGAACGCCAGAAGAAACTGAAAAGTCTGGCAGAGACAGATGTACAAACTAATCATTAATTACCAACTGGCAAATGCTCACTGCAGAATGTATGCTACCCTGTCCCCTGGGTTGATGAAGACACAGAGATGAGATGTCTGGACAAGAATCAGAGAAGACAGTGTAGTAAGATCATGAAAAGCAACTTGTTTACCAGGAACATAAGACTTCTCAACATAGAGAACAGTATAAAACCAAGAAGGAAGACATCATCACCTGAGAACTACACAAGGTCCTGTATAAATAAGGGCAGGCATAACGGAACTGAGTGAAGGTAACAAACAAATACTTTTCTACCTGTGGAAAAGATGGATTAAGAAAAAACTATTTTTAATGGAGCGTCTTTGTTTTCAGGACGGCATCTTAACACAACACTGAAGTAATATATTGTGAATTATGGCTAATGGGTTGAATAAAGGATTTCAACCTAAAGATTATATGAGGTCAATGTTGCTGAAAACACTAAAAAGAAAACAATCAAGCAGGAAAACATCGAAGCACTTTGATACAATAAGGAAGAAACAGTAATAAAGTCCAAAAAGATTGACTTCAGGCAAAACGCTGAGTGATGTTTACATCCTTATTATACATTGATTACAGACTATAAAACATGATTTATTAGCTTTTACTGGAGAATGCCTTACACATTTGGTCTCTTTAAACTTGTCTAAAAGATGACACTTTTAAAGATAACTGGCCAAATGAGGTTTATCAATATTTTAATGAGGAGGAGGAAAAGAAGGCCTCTTCCAATGAATTCTTTGAAACATCTAAAGTTCGAGTTTCCTCTCCCTCTTTCAGTGAAACACGACAGTCCAATGTGGGACCCCAAAGAGTTCCTGCATCAGTAATTTCCACGCAGCTAAGGCCTACTCTAGGAACAGCAAGCCTAATTGGCTGGGTGGCCCACAAAGATGAATTTGCAATTATTGAAATTTGAACTCAAGCTTAGTCACCCAGGATCATCTCAGAGGAGTCATTCCTCCTTCTACTTTGTCAAGAAAGTAGGTGAATTTTTCAAAATGTATAAAAATCGGGAGGGGAAAGGGAGGGAGAAGAGGAGAAGGGGATGAAAAAAGAATTAAGATGTGTTATGCACATGTACCAACTCCACACGAAGAATGTATGCAGTAATACACTATTAATAATAAAAATTTTTTAAATGTATAAAAATAGCAGGTATCTTTAAAGGAGAGAGAGGAAGCATCTGAACCTACAGCAACGGTGTGAGCCACCAAAGTTTCCTCTCCGGGTGTGTTTTAGGGTGTGTCTTTGTTTTGACTTGATGATTTAAAACACTCCACTCCTTCGGGGAACCCAGGACTCTCCCCATCCACCCGCCCCGGTGCCCCAGCGCCCCAGCTCGCGCCTCCGACGCTGGGCAGCTCAGCCTCGCCGCGATTTCCCCGCAGAGGCGGCGGCAGTCCGGCCCGAGGCCCCGCGCGGACGGGACAGCGTATCCGGCCTCCCGCGCCCGCGGACATGCGCAGGGTCGCACCGGGGTACCGGGACCCAGGCGCCCCGCCCCGCCCAGGGCCGCGCCCCCCTCTCCCGCCGCGCGGGCCGGCCGCGACCCCGACCCCAGCTCTCACCGTGCGCAGGTGGCCCTGCCTCCTCGGCCGCGGCCCGGCTGCTGGTCGCCCAGCGACCTGAGGCCCGAGGACTGAAGGTGATGCGACGACCCGTCACATCCCTGTGGGCCCCGCCGCCCGAGCCGCAGCAACAGCCAGCATCGCGTCCACGGCCTGAGGGAGCGCCGGACTCCACAGCCACCGCGCCCCCTCCCTCGCCCGGCCGCACGCCCGGACTCCGCCCTCGAGGCCCCTGCACAGCGCGCGCGCAGCCCCGCCCCCCCAGACGCCCTTGCGCAGGCCTGAGCCTCATGTGGCTTGGCCCCGCCCCGGCTCCGCCCCCGCTGCCTGACTCCAGCATCAGTCCACCCCGGCCCCGCCCCGCCCTCACACCGGCTTCCCGAGGCCGCTCCCACCCCGCCCCGCCCCGCTGGCTGACCTTGCCTGGCTGCCCCCTGACTCAGGTGTTTGCGAGCCCAGTGCAGACGCCTGTCCTGCTGCTGACCTCGCCCCGACACGGCCTCTGGACTAATACTTGTAGCTTGACAGCGGTCAAACCTGTCATCAGCTCCTCCTCCAGGCTGAAAAGTTAGGAGTGGCCAGGGCCCTGAGACTGGCCAGAGATCCACGACATTGTGCATTTCCAAGTCCACGCCTCGCTCTCCCTGCTGCAACCTCAGCCCTGCCCCTTGCGCTAGAACCCTGGATCTGGCTAAGGCCGGGAGAAAGGGGACTGAGATGCGCAGCTGTCCTGAGTCGCCTTAGACCTTGCCAGGGACCAGATCCTCCTTTTCTTAGAGGCTTGCATCACTCATCTGTTCTTTCCACGGAGACTGAGATGGCTGGACCGGTTTTTTTGTTGTTTAGCGGCTTGTTTGATTATCTTGCTTTGCTTTTTTTTTTTTTTTTCCGGTACCGGGGATCGAACTCGGGTCCTTGCGCTTCTGCTTGCACAGCAGACGGCGAAACCACTGAGCTAAATCCCTGGCCCTGCTTTGCTCTTTAACCAGACTTATTCTACCACTTTGAGACAGGGTCTCACTAATTTACCCACCCTGGGCTGGAATATGCAATCCTCCTGTCTCAGCCTCCCAGAGTGTTGGGATTACAGTCATGCACTACCACACCTAGATTCGATCAGATCTTGAAAGTCCTCATCCTGAAAGCCTTCCCGATCTGGCCAGCTGGCCACAGCTGCCCTTGTCTGACAGTAGTCTAGCTGCTCCCTGAAATCCTTGCCAATACTCCAACATCTCGACTACAATAAGTATAACATTTAAAGAGAACTTCTTGAAAAATATCCAACTCTTCAATCTCCACATGAGTGATACTCAAAGTAGAAGAGGGAGAAGCTTGATGTGTAAAATCAGGTTTCACTTAGTAACATAATTTTCTATTTAGAAAACAACAATCATTTTTAACATCAACCCAAATGTGCATGCTTAAAATGTTGGGAAAGGCTAGACCTAAACCCTTTACCATTTCTCTTTGGGTCAAATGAGATCATTAGAAAAGCAAGCACCAGACTGAAGGTAGGACATCACTCAAGAGATGCCCTTACTAAAATGTGCTTTGGGGTTTATGCCATCAGTTACATTGAAAGATGGTAAAGAAATGACTCCTCACAGCACATCCTTAGGAGTTGTGCAAGATGCTTCATCTTCAAAAATCTCCACATGAGGATCTGGGAAAGAAACACAACTCGGTTGCCGAATTCAAGAAGAGCTAAGCTTTTCTAGACTGCTTGGTGGCTATCTTGAAATTCCCTGAATGTTCCAGGTGATCAAGTGTTCTTTTTCCTTTGCTATTTATGAAGTGCTTTCTCTCCTAACGACCTTACTGGATGCTAGCTGCATAGGAATATTTCCTGGCTTCATCTAATTTCCCATTTCCCATCTTGTCTTTGTCCCAATGTCCTCGTTTCCTTGGTTGTCATTATGTCACATTGATTCTATTTCTATTAGCCACTTGCTTCAATGTGTATCCATGGGATTTTAATTTATAAGATGACGGTAATGACACAAGGAGGTCAATGCATTGAAAGAGTCATTTTATTACTTGCATTTCCTGAGAGCTGGTGCCATGCCATGCCATTTAGGGACCCATGGAAAAGCATCAGGTTTGGTCAGGAGGCATAATCAGGAGTAAAGGAAGTCCTTGCCAGAGCTGCTTTTGGGGATTTTGTGGGAAAACCAAGACAGGGAAGGGGAAGTATCTTGGGGTTGGCTAGTATGAATAATGTCATAGGGCTGTGGCTTACAGGGCTGGTCTCTAGTTGTCTAGTACCTAGTTATTATGATTTATATCTAGATGGCCCCCAGGGCCTTATGTGCTCATAGGTGGCTTTTGGGAGGTGATTGGATCACAAAGGTATGATACTCATCCATGGATTAGTCCACTGATGAGTGTATAGGTAAATGTGATGTTGGGAGATAAAGCCAGGTCTGACATGGTGGGTCACTGAAAGTGTGGCCTAGAAGGGTATATCTCCCCCTTCCTCCCTTGATCTCTTTCTCTCCCTCTCTCTCTCTCCTTCCTGCTGCCCTGCCATGGGCTGTTTCTCCTCTGTGACACCCCTCTGCCATGCTGCCCTGCCTTGGAGCCAGCCAACTATGGACTAAAACCTCTACAAACTGTGAGCCAAAGTAAACCTTTCCTCCTTAGAGTTGTGAGTGTCAGGTATTATGTTTCACCGGCAAGAAAGTATCTAAGACACTAGTCCTGGGTAGTTTAGAGCAAAGGTGATACTGGCTTAGTGTGTGTGGAAGTTACATAAAGTGGGTTGAGGAGATGCAGTTAGCATTAGGTGGAAGTTATGTGATAGGATTTTCACGTGCTCACAAACCTGGATTACTGAGACATGTTAAAAAATTTTGTCCACTAGTTTGGATACCAAATAGACAAACACAGAATCTAAGAAAACATATTTAGAGCACAATTTAAATATATATATGAAAAGTTTATATATAGATATAAAGTTT